AACAGCGAAAGAAGGTCGTCGCGATGAAACACTACAGCCGCAGACAGCTGTATCTGACGTGTTCATACCGCTGGCGAAACTCTTGAGCAGTAGCAGCACGACGAGGATTAGTTCCAGTACCAGCGCCACCCCAATCATTCACCGGATGCACGAAATTGGCGGCGGTGAGAGCTTCAAAATGGAGCCGCGCCGGAAAGGATCTATTGACAGTGCTGAAGAAAAGACGAGGAGGGAGATTATTCAAGGTTGGAGGAAAGCACTCGAGCAACTGCGGGAAAAGATACGAGCTTATCAGGAAGGTATGAATGGGAAAAAAGAAGAAACTGACAAATCTGCTGCTAGTGTTGCCAAGCAGGAAGATGAGGAACACAAACAGGTGAGTGCCTCTCTAGCAGTAAAAATCTTTGATATTCACACTCTGTGGGAGGCAGAGAAACTCTAAAATATTCCGAGGATAATAAGTGTCGACAGTAACGGCCCACTGGTAAGACTGGTAAGACTCCCTCTTCTGAGGATATTTCAGAGAAAGCTAATGTTTTACTTTATCCAAGATGGAAATTAAATTCCAGAAATATTTCATAAATTTGCTAATGTTGCTAAGTGATAAGAAAATAGGCTCACCTTCCTACCTCATTTTCTTACGAATTATACTATAAGTAACTCATAAATTGTATTTTATGTCTGAAAATTACGTTTTCAGAGTACCGCACCGAAAAGATCATTTATGCCTTTTTTAATGTAATGCCTTAGAGTAATGAGGTACGAATGCGAAACGTGATTACTTACAAAAACAGAAATGAAAGTGCTGACCGTGATAGAGGTGAGTGATGGAGCCAAAAAGACTTAAAACATCTTTCCGCAACCATGTAGACCACAAAAGGCTTTGTAAAATGAGAGACCTGCAATACACATTTGTGTCCATAACAACAAGCCTGCTAAGTGACGAAAGTGTGTGCTGCAGGCTTTCCTGGTGATTTGTATGACCACGTGTTAGTGCCAGTATCTGAGAGACGGAAGAGAGGGAGGTGATCACAGGACGAACTTCGAAGATAGGGGTGCATTTGTGTGGGTACTAAATGAAGGTAGCAAATTAGGAAGTAATTCTGACTGCAGCTCTGGTCTTGCGCTTGCATTAAAAAAGAAATGGAAATATGTCATGATGCAGAAAATGTCGGCAGGGCCAGTGCCAACACCTTTTAAAACCATTATACGCGTGACTGCTTGAGGACAGATAAATCTTGTTTTTTTTTTTTTTCTAGGAAGAGACAAACAACGATGTTTCGAACGATAAGAACACTGGTCATCTGTATGTAATCAAACTTGGAATTGATAAAGATCCGATGAAGCTAAATTTGACGCAAGAAAGTAGTGCCACAGAGTCGATTCGTAGCGATCCTGAAAAATCCAGTTCCCAGTTTGTATCTGAATTAGAATCAAAAACTGTATCTGGTGACCGGGTTATTGAGAAAAGTGGACCAGCTGAAGAAATGGTTGAAGCAATGCTGCACAAAAATGACACAGATTTGAAAGCTGAGCAACAACAGCAGTTTCTGAAAATGGTCGACGAAACAACAGCAAAACCAAGCAGCGTGGAAGTCTCAGTTGACCACACTACTTTAAGCTCTGGAGCTCATTTTACGTCGGATCGTGAAACACATAGTGCAGTGAACGCTGAGAGCACCCTGTGGCTACCGCTGAAAAGCGAAATCCACCACGAAAGCCAACAACCAGTGCATGCTACCCAAGAGGTCGGAGCTCCTACTGTTTCTGATGACCACAAGAAAGATGTGGACGACTTTGATTCTGTGAAAAAATCGGCTGGCCTATTTGCTCCCGAAAAACCAGGCATAGAATTCTCAGTTGACGAGCAACCTGATGCTTTTGTTAAAGAGAATCCGGTGCATGACATGAGGATTCCACATCAGTTTGGTGGAAAACAAGAAAGCACGCCTAATGAATGGAAAAGGTTATTACGCCATCCCACTTTATGAAACAGCGATGCATCCGAGATTTTTAAAAAAGACAAAGAAAACTTAGGTCTTAACTCACTGCACGTGGAAGACGCTTGCAAATTGTTTGCAAATATTCGTTCGCTGTTAATTAACAGAAATTTTAAACCTTAAAAGGGCCTAATTTAAGCTTTCACGACGCTGGAAAAAATGAAGAAAATAAAAAAAAGAGCCTCGAAAAATGTTAAAAAGTAAAGTGAAATTAGTTTGAAATAGAATAATACAAAAATTATTCCTCAAGAGGAAAATGTAACTTTTCTTGCAAATAGTTTGTCAAAAGCAAATGCTTTGGCTAAGTTTGTTTCTTGCCAAAAAATACCAAGACTGCCCGAACATTAGCGCGGCTTTTTCCCCAGAGGACTTTGGCCGTTTTCCAGGGGAAAAATTGTGGAAACGGTGCCTTGAGATTGAAATTAAAAAAAATGTAAAGTAAAATGCAAATTCTCTTGAAAGTAAAAATTCTTTTTTCATGAGGTATTTTCCCAGGAAGCTACAAAGCTGCCTATCAAAAAATAACATTCTGAAACACAAATGGCAAACTTGTAGTTCAACACTCTATAAAAGAAAGTGCGAGAAATGAGAAAAAGAGCTGATGTGACTGGTTCCTACAGGTACCTGGAAGGTTTGGATTTTTTGGACTGTTTTTGATTTAATGGGCCGGAGTAAAAAGCTGATGAAGTTAAATCGTTTCTTATTTCATGTGACTTTTTTTTCTCACAGAATGATGGTAATTTAAATTCTGAATTAACTAGAAATAAAAAAAACTGTTTTTTGCAGTGAGTCGGCGATCAATCCTTTGGAATTACAAAGGAAGATACAGGAAGAACGAAACAGAGCAAAACTTCAAAACGATGAAAACAGCGAATCAATCGGCGAAGTCATGAAAAAGAATATCATACCAGACGGAGGAGAGAGAATTAATATAGTTAATGCCCGGTTACTGGAAGAGAAAGCTCGACTTGAAAAGGCACATTCATTACCTAAGTTCGGGAAAACTTCCCAAGTTATAGCAGCGGATAGATTTAAGCCAGCTTAAGTCTCTTGGCCGCTGCTTCTTGGCGAGCTGTTTTCAGTTAGCTTGGGTCCATTTGTTGGACGGCAGTTTTAGACTACTTATATCGAAACTTGGAAGCTGATTTCTGGTTTTACTGAGACGATTCAATGAATAATCTAATTTTCTTAAACTCAAGCGATTAGCCTAATTAGTAGAACAAGTTTTGCGATCTTTTTAAACCGATAAATTCAAAAGCCAGCTTTTATTTTCTTTGAGGCCAGAATTAAAATCGCTGCTAGAAATCTTTTAACATCGAACGATTTTGGAAAATAGCTTTAGAAGTGTCCTGTGTCAACAATTTTTGAAGTAATTCGGCAAATTTTTCCTATTCATCGGTTTAACAGTAATAACGGTTTAAGTAAAGCAAGATATTTTATGATAATCACTTAAGCCATTTGGTGATAAGGCTATCGATAGCACACTTTAAACAGTAGGATTGCTCTTCAGTGATGTATCAGTGGCTAATCAGTTTATTAATAATTCGTATACAACACGTTTGTTGCTTCATGCTAGCTTACCAATAATATTTGACAAAGATATTTGATAAAAGTTACTTGTTACGCACTGAGCTACTCGATATATTATTAAATCCGTGGTTTTTACTGCTGTTTTTAATATCATTATTATTATCATTATCATTATTACTATTACTACTATTGCTATTATTATTACTAATAACATTAATAACGCCATGAATTCTAAATCATGCCTAACAAAAGTATTATATTTATTAAAAATTACTAATTAATATATTTATTAATAAACGCGAAATAATAGGTGATAACAGATGAAGGAAAAAGTTATCGTTTCATGTCCAACATTTATGCTGCAACAATAGCACGCATATTTAAGGCACGACTCTTACGTGAGGAGCAAATGCAGCTGGAAAAGCAACGTGAGCTACGGCGTGGTTTGGCTGAAAAACCGCAACTGGATCGTGAAGAAGAGATCAAGCAGCAGCTGGAGCAGCTTGCCGAAAGCGAGAGGCGACACCGAGAACAGTTGGAGAGGGAGAAACTGGTACAGTTAGCAAGGACAAAACAATATAGAAAATCAGCGACTGGAAACAAATTTTCTCCTATTCGGCCTGCTCAAACAGATTCTCCCGAGGCTAATGTAGGAACATTACATTTGTTCTTTTAGATTCTAAAACAACGAGTTGTCGTCTCTGCTTTCTCTGCGTCCATTTATAGCAGTGTTTTCTCTGTATTTCCTCTGGTAATGTAGGATTCCAGAGGATAACCACCGTGTGTCTTCGCAACAACACAAACGTGAGAATAAAGTGAAATTTTTCAATTCCCTTGTATATAGTCCGAGACTTTTTTGTAAAAGACTTGAAGTTTTAGACCCTAGATCTAGAGGCCCTATTTTCGCATCTTCCATCCTGAGGAAGATTTGGTTTCGACCGTTTGTCGCTTCATAAACTTATCGTTATTGAACAATTGAGCAATCTGCAAACTTGCGCCGCTACAGAAGTCGCCGTTAAAATGGCGAGTATAAGATTGGCCCTACTACCAATATATCTATCCCCTAGTTGTGAAGCGTGAAAACGGGACGATCCACAAGCTGCTAAGATACGGTTTGGCTAGGCCTAACAGGGCTCGGTCACAAACACAGTCTGAAAGCCCATTTCTTCGTTGCGGCTCTTAAATTCTAACCTCCTGCCTTTTTGAGTTTGGTTCCAGATATGCTTCAAGACTGGCAAAAAAAAACATACATTCTTGATCTCGTCTAAACGAATTTTTGTGCTGCATCAGTGAAACAACACACAAACCAGGAAATGTGAAGAAATGAGAAGACAGCCTTACACATAACGCCACGTACGAATAGTACGGCAAATTTTCACTAATGCTGTATTTTTTCAGAAAGCAAACGCAGAACGACAATTTGATGAAGCTCAGTGCTCAGCAATTCGAAGATTCGCTCACGTTTTTCAGATGGCTGATCCAGTGGAGTGGTTCCGAACAAATTGCCCATTTGCTCACCTGTACTTCCCAAATGCAAGCTGCGCAAGAATTCAACAACTTTTCGAATCTTGCGTTCACTAAGCGCATACTATAAATGCTTTTAAACAATAATTTGCCATCGGGTTCTGGTTTAAAAATTCCCTTCCAAAAACTCCTTTTGTGCAATAATTTAGTTTTTTTTTGAGAAATTATCAAAATTTTGTGAAAGTTTTGAAACCTTGAAAGGTTTTGATAATTTTTGGGCTATTTTTGTGAGTTTTATAAATCAAAAATTCCCTCTTCTCTAAAACACTTTTTGTCAAAATTGATTCGGAGCATACGCTGAAACCAATGAGTTACGGCCTCTGCACCAATTGTCCAGGTGAGCTTGGTGATCTAGCAATATCAGAAGAAAAAAACGAGTAAATGATTCTTGTAAGTGCACCAGCCAAGGCGGATTGTAAATCCCAGGCAAGTGGCGCGTAATAGGATATAAAACCGTGAAAAGAAATGCAAAAAAACTAGAAAAGTAGTTAAGCTGAAGTTGAGAAAGAGGGAAAAGCAGCACTTTCTCATTGATTCACAGATGGTGATCCAGAGAGCGTAAAAGTGAACTCCTTGGCCCGGTGGCCTATTTATGCATAATTATATTCGCTGCTTTAATCATTATGTGTATGTTTAAGTGCCTGCTGAAACATTCCATTTTAATTATGCTTTATGTTATTTTGTTATATCACTTCATTAATAAATGCAATTCGTGAACAGCGAAGCATTTTTTGCACATTGTCGGTTCTTCAGTACATTGACGATAACTCTACAGCATCACCAATCGTTTGCCTCCCTCTGTGATGATACCACGTTTTCGAGGGCAATGAGATACAAGAGTAGAACGTGACTGCTAAAAAAATGCAGAAGAAAAGATGCTGTTTGTGGTGCAGTTAATAATAAAATCATGGCATGTGGAGATTCCTTTGGTACCATATCAGGAATGAAAGACTGCTTCTGGAGAAACGCTCTGCAAGAAATCGTCGTATTCTCAGAAGCTGAAAAGGCGCTTGGACTTAGCTGCCACGCTACTTTTCGCCAAT